GTGCCGGTAAATCCACTCGCACACTGGCAAACATAACCACCACTATTTGTGGGGAGACACTGGCCACCATTTTGACACGGAAATAATGCGCAAGATCCTAAAGAAAAAAATAAGAAATGAAAAAGATTGGAAAGAATGAGAATCTAATAAACTAAAAACATGAAGGGAAAAGTTAATGAACAGAAATGGATACAAAAATACATGCAAAATAAGCTACCAAAAATATAGGCATAACAATGATCTAATAAATACTATTTATAGCATTGCAAGAATATTGTACAATCACTAATACATTTAGAATTATATTTTGAAAAATCACCATGAAAAATACCAACTAAAGTATTTATGCATAAAATTAGATTAGAATAACAGTTATTGAAAAAAAAATCAATACTACAATATATATCTATTATTAGTACTGATATGTGCTTTTCTCACAAATGCCGCAGCATTTGAGAGCTGTGCTTAACGGAAAATCAAGTCTGGTGACAGTCTTAACTGAGAGGGCGCTTATTTGATTGAGTTGCTTAATAAAACATTTTATAGTGTACAGAGCAGCAAAGGTCAAATGACACTAGAAACAATAGGAACATTACCCATCTAAGAGCAGATATACTACCTGGGGTCTCGCAGTTAGTGCCTGTAAATCCACTCACACACTGGCAAACATAACCACTAGTTGTGGGGAGACATTGGCCACCATTTTGACACGGAAATAATGCACATGATCCTAAAGGTAAAAAAAAACAGAAAAAAGAATGGAAAGGATGAAAATCTAGCAAACTAGAAAAATGAGAGGAAAAGAAAAATAAACAGAATTGGAAACAAAAATACATGCAAAATAAGCTACCTGAAATATAGGCATAACAATGAACCAAAAAGTACTATTTATTGTATTTAAAGAATACTGTACAACCATTATTACATTTAGAATTAGATTTTGAAAATCACCGACACTTTATTTGAGACGGTGCTTATTTGGCACAGGTGTTTAATACAGCATTTAGTTTACAGAGCAGCAGAAGTCAAATGACATTAGAAACCACAGAAACATTACCCATCTAACAGCAGATATATTACCTGGGGTCTCGCAGTTAGTGCCGGTAAATCCACTCACACACTGGCAAACATAACCACCACTATTTGTGGGGAGACACTGGCCACCATTTTGACATGGAAATAATGCGCAAGATCCTAAAGAAAAAAATCAGAAATAAAAAAGATTGGAAAGAATGAGAATCTAATAAACTAAAAACATGAAGGGAAAAGTTAATGAACAGAAATGGATACAAAAATACATGCAAAAT